TCTGTTAATTTTTCTACACATCTGAAAGAAATAAAAATCAAGTATTAAATGAACGATGTTGCACACATTCTTTAAGCACAAATATTTATCCCTTTCAAGTTCATCTACAGAGTGATGCAGACACCACCAAGTACAGTGGTGTTCAAAAGAACTTTCTGCCAACTTCTGTAAATTTAAATAGCCAGATGTAGCTACATCTCACAGCACACAGTATAGTATCATTCAAAACAGTTGTTTCTAAATGTAAAAACGATAATACAAAGAAAATATTACTAATATTGTTATATTAAGTGGTTATATAACATGTTCTTATTTTATATAAATGCAATAAGGAGGGGTGAAATGAAATGTTTGAGATTTCCTATAAAATACCCCTTGCCAAAAAAAAAAAGGGGAAAGCAGATAGAGGTAGAAAGCATGGCAAAATCTAAAAAGTTGTTAAATCTAGCTAATAAACACTAGGGTTTCATTATACTATTTTACCTATATTATTTATATTTGAAAATTTTCATAAAAAAATTTAATGAACCTAAAAGAAAACCCTAAAATCATTCATCTGTTAAACCCAAGTCAGAAAGTTTATAAAAACTGTAACCTAATTATGATCTAACTATAAATCTAATTTCACAAATCATGTATCATCAGTTATAGATAGAAAATACAGATTTAAAGAGATTAAGTGACTTGCCCAAGGTCACTTAGAGAGCAGTAGAAAGCTGGGACTGGAAACTTTCTAAGTCCAATGTTTTTGCCACTATATTTTGTCTTCTAATAGGAAAACAGGTTTCAATCAATCCAATTTGCTGTGTTTACTGACCATTTAAGCTGCTGTACATTTTGCTGTCTCTTCAATTAAGAGAAACAAATGTAGGTTAGACACCTCATTACTGGGAGATTATAAGGGGCAACGCTGAAATATTAAAAGAGGGCCTGAATAAAACCACTAAGTAATATAGAGGTTAAATATTACTTTTTCTTTTTTTTTTAAGTTTTTTCTTACTCCTTTTTAAAAAGATTGGTCTAATTATTAGGAAAACAGAGATGAATTAGGGTCAGAAGGCACTTGACCAAAGTTCAGAAAAACTGATATTCAAACCTCTTGAAATGTCTTAAAAGATTAACCTTCCAACTTAGTTTTAAAATTTCATCACTGTGACAATCTGTAAATCAGGCACATGTGTTTAATAAACCTCCATTTATCAATGAATCGTCCCCTTATACTGCAAGGTCCTTGATAAGATCCACGTCTCATATTTCTTTATAAACCCTAGATCCGCACAACAGCAGACCCAGTTACTGCTCCATCAAGGTTTACCAAGCTGAAATGCTTTAGGGCTCACTGCATTTCCAGGACATGCAACAAATTGAAAATGTGTAACAAAAAAAAATTATGGTGAAAATTTATTTTAAACAATCCAATTAAAACTGAATAATTTAAAATACATAATCAAAAGAGTTTGGAGAATACCTTTTGTGATGTTGGATGAAGTGAGGAAGGGACACTAAGAATCAAGACTATTCCTCCCCACAGAAATATTGTGGAGCAAACAAAATTTAATTGTCATCTTTATTCAGGTTTGACCATTCTAACATTTATAGTCTGGAAATAAAAAAAGTTCTTTAGTACCTTTTGGTCAAGTCAGGGAAAAAAATAAACCATGACAGAGGGTAGAGCTACTACTCTAGCTATAATCATCTTAAGAGATCATTTCCGTAAGTAAAACTGTTGAAACAGAGGGAAAGCTGTCAAGAAGATACTTATGTTTAACTCCCAAATGGATAGGTGAGAATAAAAAAGGAATTTTGAAAACTATACTAAGTTATTAACCTTCCTACATATGGTAATAGGGGAAAAAAAAAAGTCCAATTTGGCAGAATTTACATGAAAACACATCATTTATATCTGTATCATGACACCACTACTCAAAACAATAGCATGTAATAAATATTTGGGGGGGGGGTGGAGGTGCAGCGAGTATAAATGGTAATAGCAAAAATACAATAAAAAAAAACATTTAAAAAATTCACTATGTATTTTGTGCTAAGTCAGTGATTTTTAACCAGTATGCAACAATTTTTAAAACTTGCAATACCTGACTATTTAATCAGAGGCACTGACCTCTCCTTTGCCTGATTGTCTAATGAAAAAATGACAACAACCAACATAATAGCTGTCTGGTGTGAATGAATCAATTAAACCTCTTTTTGGGTCAGACTGTCAATAAATATACTTCTTGGTGTGTGCAGAATTTTATTAATTAGTTTACTTGTGCCATGAGATGAAAAATGGTGGAAAATCACTGTGCTAAGTGCTTCACATGCTGTATTTAATTCTCACAAACTAATCTTACAGGGATTAACATTCCGTCCTATAGATGAGGAAACTGAGGAACAGACTATTTAAGAAATTTATGCAAAGAATTTACATCCAAATAAGGCTAATAAGTTTCACTCTTAATTTTGGAACAAATGTGTTTTAAATCTACCAGGTCAGGTATAAACCAAATCTCGCCACACTCTATTAGGAAAGTTGGGGATTTAAAATTCTGATTCCCCACTCCCCTTCAATTCTCCCTGCTTTAACTAATTTTTTCACTTTAAAGTCAAAAGGTAAAAAAAGATGTTGCGAATCACGAATTTAGCAGCTAATATGACTAAATTTCTAGGATATACAAATATGTGTGCTTCGGAACTTTCAACACAGGAACATTATTTTAATAAACAGTTTTAAATATTTATGTTCCTGTTTCCTCTATCGTTTCTAGGAAATTTCTTTCAGACTAGTCTAGTTTTTAAGGATGAAGCTCCTAATTAAAATGTATGCAAAAATACACAGAAAACATGTTACTTGGCAAAACAACAAAAAAAAATGAATACCCACTTAAGCTTGTTATATGAAGGACTACACTTAACAAAACTGGCAAAGTCACGTTTTTATCCTGCTAGCAAGCACCAGATTTCTAAAAACAGTGAAAAGTACTGTAAAAATCTGGTAGTGAAAAGAAGCTACAAAGAGCTACTAGGGCAACTGGCTCTTAAACACATTAAAGTGAAGGAGGTGCGGGACGGACGGACACACTTGAAGGCTAAGATCCTGTTGTTGATTTCTTAGCGGGGACGTGATGTAATACTGGAGAGCCGCCGCAGGAGGGGAACGGACAGGCTGACAAAGGGAGTGCCGATGCCAGAGCGCGCGAGTAGCCTGCGACGGCAGGGGACGCGCGAGCCGCTAGGGAGAAGAGGGATATGCTACAAAGCACGGTTTCACGGAGTGGGAAAGCAGCCCGACAGACCCAGGAACGGAGAGGAGTGATAAGACAGCAACCAAGGAAGCGGTGTGACATCTGTGGGTGAGAGCCGGCAGGGGGCAGAGCAGGCAGGATGTCACGTGGAGTGGCCACTACGGCAGCCGAGAGGGGTGCGTGCAGAGAGAGGGGGGTCTTTCCCACCGCCTGAAAGACTGCATTACTCACAGGAGTCGCGGACTCTTCTTGCCCTGAGCTGGAGACGGGGGCTTCGCGGCCTGGGACTGCAGCCCTGTGGTATCCGGAGGCCTGGCGCTGGGGCTGCTCCTCCGCCGGCGGGGATACTCGGCCTTCCTCCGACGGGACACAGCGGCGGCAGCGGCCGCAGCGGCCCGGCCCCGGTCCCGTCCTCCCCTCAGCACGCGGCTGCTAGTGGCCCCCGCAGGCGGCGGCGCCGCCGCCTCAGGGGTCTGTTGTTGGGGCTCCTCTGGAGCCGCCTTGGCCGCCGCCGCCGCCTCTACCCCGTCCTGGTCCTGCTGTTCCGGGGGTCTCGGCTCTTCTGTCTCCCCCGGCATCGGGGCTCGTCCGTCCCCCACCCCTTCGTCCCAGGCGGTGGAGGCGGAGGCGGCGGCGGCCGCGGCGCTGCTCCCCCCGCCCCCCTCCTCCCGGAGCGTCCTGCACACTCTCACTCGGCGCTCCTCTCTTCCCCCCCCCCACCCCTCCGCCCGGCTCCGAGGGCAGCCCCCGCCCCCTGCCACTCAAGGCCCCCTGGCGCGCGCGCGCGCCCGACAAGACTCTCGACAGACCAATAGAAGAGGAGGAATGGCTCCTTCGCTCCGCCCCACACGAGCTCTCACGCAGCGACGTACCGGGTTCCCTCCCCCACCCCTTCCTCCAACCAATCAGGGAACGGATCCAAGGGAGCGCGCGAGGTTTCCTTGCCCGCGTACCCGTTCTCACCGTTTAACGGCTGCGTCTCGCGACAATCCTAAAGTGACCTTTCCCCTCCCTCCGGAGTTGCACGCGCGCTAGAGAGACAGTGGGAGGGGCAGGTCTCGCGAGGTTGTTGGGGGCAGAAAAACGCACCTCTTTCCCCGCCTCGCGCGCTCCCCGGTGTGGCTGCGCGCGCACCTGCCTCCCTAAGGAGCCGCTAATGCCACAAGGGCTTTCTATCCTTTCTTAAGCCAACGAAGTAGTCCCGGCGTTTTACTTCCTCCACCCCGATCCCACTTTCCTGTATGTAGCCTTTTTGTCCCCAGCGTTGCCAGGTCTTGCAGGGAGAAGGGAATTTTTTTTTGAGTTGTCGCTTCTCCTTTAAGAAAAAAAGCCCCGTCGCTTGCCGGATGAAAGTCTCTGAAAAAATGGCGGCGGTAGAACAGAGGCGGGGTCGTGAAGGCAGAGGACACGCCTTTTCGGCGCATGCGCATGGTTAACTTGCCCAAAGGCATCCTGGGATATGAAGTCCTACTTATCCTGTGGCTTAGGGAAAAACTGAAACCGGAGGCGAAGAGGTTGCTGGGAGTTTTTGATCTCTGGTGGATGGGAAAAGTAGTTTACTATTACCACAGTCAAAGTGTGCTTTTCCTGAGAAGCAGTGTTTCCGGGTTCAGGAAAGACGCCCGAGCACATCCCGGCGCAAATTTTGAGCCAGTTTCCTGTCAGATTTGCTGAGAAGGCTTTTCCTACTTTTTTCTTGGCGTTGTGGAAGCAGGTCTAGGGTGGTCACGTGATGGCCCTTACCTTGGTTTTGGTTAGATGGCATCTCTAAACCGTCTAGCGTTCATGCCTGCAGTGTTCGTTTCGTCATCCTGTGTCTGACCCATCAACCTGTGAGCCCCTGAAGGTCAGGGACTGAATCTAGTTGTGTCGGGTCCTCGGGGGCCTACCCGCCACTTATTTGATTCTTAATAAAAGTTTGTGGAAAGAATTGTGGAGTTGGGTTTCTACTAGACATTCTCGAGACCAAGGTGCCGGGGTCCCCGGACTGGAGGGAAGTTGTTAGCGTGACTAGAGTTATCAATCCGTAAAAACTGAAGCCCTCTCTCAGGCTTCCCGCTCTGAAGCCACTTGCTTCTGCGGTTTTTAAATGTTTCTGCTGCACAGGAAGCTCAGTCAGATGAGCAGCTTTGTCAGAATTTCTTTTCAGCCCAATAGTGCGTGCAGCTAAATCGCTCTAATGCATAAACGGGAGTTTCCATTTGCTTATCTACAAGTTGTATTTGGTGATGAGAGTGGGCCTCTCGCAATCCTTCCTTTCTTTGATCCATTATAATCAAGGAGGGATTTTCAGGACCACTTTCTTACTCCTGGAAAAAGGATCCAGGAAGGATCCAGCAGTAAAATGCCGAAAGAAAGCGGATGGAAACAAGATCTGGGGAATCCAATTCTCAATTTCACATTAATCATTCAGTTAACGCCGCAGATATAGTCCAATATCTGCGCACCAAGTGCTGAAGTGCATTTTTCCTTTCAGCAATACGGCTCAGTTACCACTTAAGATTAGGCAAATGTTCTCTATTTTCCATTGAGTGTTTTGTTTTGCACTTGTATGGGACTAATGGCATTTCAGTTGTAAAAACTGGCACATGGCAGATGGGAATTTTTTCAAAGCCATATTTACTAGTATGCAGGCTTTTGGAACAGCACTGACATCCAATGGCTGCTCAAAGAAATGCAGAGTGGGAATCTCCATTTAAAAAAAAAGTCTTCAAATCACTAGGCAATGAAGAATTATTTATTTAGATTACCTATAAAAAAAAGACAACTGTGTTATACAGGAAAGTTCACAGGTTTTGAAGTTACGTGTGGATTTTATTACTGTAGAAAAGCTACCTATTAATTTTATTTAGCAAGTTACTATTCCTTGAATCTATTTCACCACTGGTAAAAATGGGGGTAATACAATTTCACAGGGCCATAATTATAGTTCTTTACATACTGCCTTCCATAGTAGGCCTTTGTAAATGTTTTATTTTGTTCAAGGTGAAAATAATCAGTGGTTTTAAAAAAGGTGAAAGGTAACCTCAGTGTCACTTCAGAAAACTGCTGTAAGGCAATGTAACTAGGCAGGAATTATGCTTAATTGAGATGCCTGCAGCTTAGCACCTTGTGTCTTAAATCTTTCAGTCTCATTTCTTCTTGACCCCCGCAGTTGTTTGCATTTTGGATCACTAAAATAAACAGGCCCTGAAAATCCAAATGTGAATACACCTCTGCCACGGTCAATGGATTTACAGTCTATTCAGAAAATCAGATAAACATAATTTCTGGATAATTAAATAAAGACAGCAAAATGAATTCAGTGCTGGTTAATTCTGATGGAAATTTAATGAAGCAAACCATGCCTCTGTGGTCCCCCAGCTTCACAGGACAACAACAACAAAAAAGCAAGTTTCGAATGCATAGTCAAAGTGGGATACTCACATTAGAAAAAAAACACAAGTGCAAACCTGCCATTCTTATGAATTCAAGATGAATTCTGGCATGTGGTAGGTGCTCAATTTTTTAAAACTTAATTTTGAATCTTAATTGCTCTGGCCAATGTACCACCAGAATTCCGATTTTAGTACCCACCTTTCTATGACAGTCCCATTTTTAAAACTCTGACCTACAAAAAAATAAAAGAAAAAAGAAACTCACCAAATCAGAAGAGAGGAAGTGTTAAGCAAATACAGGAACCAAAAGGGGTTATAGAGGCTGCTTCACGCTGTCTCATTCAGTTCCTTTGCGGTCCTTTTCTTCAGCACAGACCAAAGCAGTTCTTTACAACCTGTGGCACCACTGCATCTTGGATGTGTGACAATGGAAGAATTGGGTGAGTGAGGAGTTTCTTGGAAGAGAAACTGAGGGAATAAACACTTGGCTGCCATCTTCTTGTGTGGTGGGTATACTACTAGCCAAAGGAGGGTAGTACTGGAAGATTTTATTTTCACTTCTCTCCTGACCTCACCCCACTAAGAAGAAAGCATGAGGAACTGTGATTGGGGAAAACAGAGTTCACTTTTTCGGTGGCACAAAAGGCAGAAAGTTTGGTCCTAACCACAGAGTAAATTCTGCACAAATACTTTGGGATTGAATTTTGATTGCAATGGTCATTTTATTATGGGCAATTGGCCCTTGGGGGCTATTGAATATCATAGAGTGATAGAGTGATCACATAGTAGGCAACGGCAGAGATGTGATTTGGGGAGAGAGTGTGTTATGAGGAGAAGAAACAGAAGTGCAAGAATAAGGGACTCACAAAGGTTGGAGAAAGGCCAGGGTGGTTTGATCTGTTCTGTGACTTAGTATTAAATCAAGACAACATAGCACTGTCTTTTGTTGCTCAGCTTTTTATTCAGAGGAACTCTGAAGGAACAGATTACTATGGCCTACAAATATGATACCTCCTTCCATTCCAAAGCAATTAAATCCAGCAGTGAAACTAGTAGCCACATTGCTCAAGAGAGGTCCCTGATTTCAAAGTTTTGGAGTAACATAAGGCTTGTCATTCTTGGGAACTCATTCCATATCCCTTGCCAACTTTTGTTGCTGACATCCTTATTAACGTGAGTCACTAACCCAATTTCCAGGCTATAAGAATTCCACAATGTCCTGAGTCTTTGTATATTTGAGGTAGGTCAAAAGAGCAAACAACGACAAAAAACACATCTTGTATATTGTCTTTTTAAAAAATTGTTTGCAGTGTGATTTGAGAGCTGGGAGAATAGAGGAAGGAAGGCAAATTAAAGGAGGGAAGAGGAAAAGGTGGTGTTTGATAAATACGCATTGAACTGTTTTGAAGGTAAAGTCTATTTTGACACTTGGGATACAATCCAAATTCTTATCCTGTTTGAGGGCTAGGGAATTTCACATTTCTACCTGAGTTCCACTAAAATCTGGTTCTGCTTTTTTAATTTTAGAAATATGTAATTGACTTCATGCAGGTAATTCAAAAGTGAACTAATACTTTTTTGGTAACAGGCTAAAGCTAGACATTTTGACATATGTTAATTTTTTTAGTGTCTGAAGCAATCTTCTAAAATGAGTATTATCCACATTCTCTTTCAAAATGAGAAAACTAAGAGAAGCAAAATAACTAGTTCAGCGTCGCTCTCAGGAGCACCTGATGCCAAAGTGGATTAAACTAGGTATTCTGGCTGATAGAATAACCAAGATAACAAAAACAATAAATAAATAGACTTGCATAGTTTTCCATTTCTTGAGCAGGATGAATGGTAAATAAATCTGGCCCAGAAATGTGTAAAGTACCACGAAACCTGGAAGGTAACATTCCTGTAGTTGATTCAAGTGGCTAAATCCCAACCACTTCTTCAAATTGTCTTCAGACCGAAAGCTACCCTAAAGACTTAGGGTGTGTCTCTCTTCCTGCTGTGGAGAAATAGCATGGGGGACAGGTCAACACAGGCAGACCTGTATTTCCTCTTTGCGTCTTTTATTACATGGGGATGCTAGATAAAGGGAAACCAGGAGCAGACTCTGGCTCTGAATGAAATCATTACAATCCAGTGAAACCCCCAAGAAACCTCACCTTACAAATCCTTTCATTTTAATAGCAATCACTATTTGATTTCCACAGATGAAGGGCTATAGAGAAGTACTGAAGGGTTTTCAGTCTAGTATTCCCCAACCACCAGTTATCCCATATTTGTCACACTGAAATTAGTCATCTTCAAATTAGAGAATCTGGCAAAGGGCAAGATAATCTTGGGATGTTGGTGGTATGTGTACTCAGGAAACAGGAAGAAAAAGGCCTGTCAACTCATGACCCAGAGAGGCGAGTTTCAGTAACTTTGGCTGGCATAACCTTCTATTCTTGGTGGTATGGTTTGTTTCTCTTGTAGAGGGTCTCCTCTCTCTCCTATTTTATTATAAATGCCTTTTTATTTTGAATCCAAGTGGATCCATAACTTCTGGCTGGAGCAAATTTTAGAAAATAGAAAAGAAAAGGGCTATATTTTAACAGAAGGATATAGACTAAAAATTTGGAACTCAGAAATTTGGCATTTGGTTTGGCCAGTAAAGTTGTTAGAAAAGAAATTTTACTTTATCTTTCTACCTTCGTTTTTTCCTCTTTAAAAAAGTCTTTTATTGTAGAGAATTATAAAATTTGTAAAAGTAAATAGTTTAATGAAATCTGATGTAACCATCAACCAGCTTAAACAAACAATCAAGTCTCAGCCCATCTTATTTCATTTCAGACTTACCCATTCCTTTAATTTCTATATTATTTTAAAGCAATTTCAGAAATGATATAATTTCATCTGTAGATATTTCAGCATAATCTTTAAAATAAATATATGTATACTTACACAAATAATCATAATACCATTATTACACCCACAAAAATCTTTAATAGTAATTCCTTAATATTATGAAATATCATTATCACACCTAAAACATTAACAGAAATGATCAAATATCATTTATCATGTCTAAAATAAATTAATAGTATTACTTAATATTATTGAATATCAGATCAGTGCTTAATATTCCTGATTATTTCTTTTTTTATTTGCTTATTTACCATATCTTTCCATGTATAATGAGCACCCATGTTTTTGGCCCAAACTTTCAGGAAAAAAACTTTCATTTTAATTTTTTAATTCAATTACTTATTTATATTTAAATACTTGTTTTTGGTATTATAAGTGAATTTTAGCATTTATTTTTGAACACATTATGGTACAAGAAATTTTATGTAACAAATAATTACAAAACACAAGAACAGATACAAGGTATAAGAAATTTTATGTACCAGTAGCAAATTTATGATATTTATGTATCATAGAAGGCCAAGAACTCTTTGTCACTGTCACTATCAGAAGTATCATCTTCTTCAATATTTATATTACCAGTGTCTTCTGAAGAGTCACTTTCCTCATCCTGGTCAATTTCATTGTCCTCAGTTGCATCCATATCATTGCTGATGCCACATTTTTTAAATGATTTCACAACCACTTCCTTCTTGACACAGTTCCACGATCTTAGGATCTAATCACAAACCTGGGCGATGGATGCTTTCTTGATTCTGCCTGTAGGTATGAAATCATTGCCAGCTGACTGCACCCACGACGTCCATTCTTTCTTCATTAGGGCCTTGTTTACCGGTACATGAAAAGGTTGCAGTGGACTGGTTGGCCTATGAGGTATCACAGCAAGTTGGGCTTTCAAGTCCACTGTGATTGCTTTCGCACTTTGTGTAACATGCAGTTTGAAGTAATTGGAAACAAGCAAAGCTGTTTTTAAAGTAATCCTCCAGGTCTTCGTGACCAAAATTTATTAAACAAGATTTTCATGCTGCCTTCATTCATCTATCCTTTTTCACACACGTGGACAACAACTCCACTTGGAATCTTTTCTTTTGGAAACGTTTTTCTTTTCAAGATGATCATAGGTGGTAACTTTGTCACATCTGCTTTCTAGAGTTAGACTTTTAACGCATAAACATAAATAAAAGAATTAGAAATATTTATGTAGATACAGAATTGGTACTACCCATGTATAATGTGCATCCTTATTTTTCCCTCAAAAATTTGGGCAAAAAGTGTGCATTATACATGGCAAAATATAGTACTTTTATCTATTTTTTTTATCCTCGTCTTTTAAGTTAAGATTTGTATACCAGAATTAGTTATAAGTCTCTAAAGTGTTCTTGAATGTATTGGTTCACCCTCCAACTCTTTTTTCATTACAATGTATTTGTTGAAGGGTAATTTTCCCTGAAGAATTTAACTCAGTTCCCCTATCTCTAAAATGGTGTATAAAATTCAATATTCTTATGAGATGGATGATTTAGAAAAATAAGTAGATTTTTAAATTAAATTTATCAGGATGACATTAGTTAATAAAATTATATAGGTTTCACATGTACAACTCTGGAACACATGATCTGTGTATTGCATTGTGTATTTACCACCCAAAGTCAGATAGTCTTCTGTCACAATATATTTGACCCCCTTTACCCGTTACTTCCTCCTCCCACCCCTTTTTCCCTCTGGTAACCACCATACTGTGTCTGTGTCTTAAAAGTTTTTGTTGTTTGTTTCTCGTGTTTGTTCGTTTGTTGCTTTCAGTTTTATATCCCATGTATGAAAGATCTGTAGACTTTGTTTGTAAAAATGATTACATCTTTTCTTCTGCCATTAAGAAATATCCATCTCCCCAACATCTGAAATAAGCGAAAATCATTTTTTAAAAATGTGCAAAGTTCATTTTCTTCATATGAGGACTTGAGAGGTAGGCAGATCCTTAGAAACAATACAATACAGTGTTTTGCAAACTTAAAAAAACTACAACCTGTGGTAAGGAAACCACTAGAGATCCACTAAAGGGTCTTGACCCACAATTTGTAAAGTACTATTGTACTATAATTGCTTCATTATGTAGATAAAGAAACAGTTTCAGAGAACACGTCATGCTCAGATCACCCAGAGAATGCACGTGAAAATGGGGGCTAGAATATCTGACTTGAAGTTAGTGCAAGGGCTGGGGATCAGATAGCCCAGGGTCAGACAACCAGGCTCTGAACTCAGTAACAGTGTGAACTCAAACCACTTATTTGGCACTTTGTTGATTTACAAAGTAAGGATAATAATATCACCTGCATCAAAGAATTAAGATGGCTAAGTTAAATATGTAAACTGACCACGGTGTCTACCACATATTATTATTGTTATTAATTGCATCATAACAGAAGGGTAATGTTGTAATACTTTTAGAGAGCCCATTAGTTTTTCCCAAGAAAATACAAGAGAAATAATCTTAACTCTTTGGATTGCAACATCTTGCTTGATTTTAAAATATCTGTGTTTTTTTCCCCAATCTCCTTTTCCCCCCATACCCGAAAAGACAGAATACTTACATTTTCCTTTGAGAATTTTGTTATGTGCTTGGAATATAAAAGAAAGCATCAAGGTTAAAAATAAATGTTATTGTCCTGGTATATATTTTTTTAAACTATAATATTTAAAACTGCTTCTTTTTTCTGAGAGGAAGAATATATAGAATTTATTTTATAAAAAATCTTTATTGTTATTCTATTACAGTTGTCCCAATATTTCCCCTTCTGCCCTCCTCTGCCCAGCCCACCCCCCTCTCCCACAGTCAGTCCCCACACTGTTGCCCATGTCCATGGGCCACTCATACATGTTCTTTGACTAGTCCTTTCCCCTCCTTTCCACCATTATCCCCCTCCTGCCTCCCCTCTGGTCGCTGTCAGTCTGTTCCATGTTTCCATGCCTCCAGTTCTATTTTGCTCATTAGTTTATTTTGTTCATTAGATTCCTCTTATAGGTAAGATCATATAGTATTTGTCTTTCACTGACCGTATTTGTATTTCACTTAGCAAAATATTCTCCAGTTCCATCCATGCTGTTGTGAAAGGTAGGAGCTCCTTCTTTCTTTCTGCTGCGTAGTATTCCATTGTGTAAATGTACCACAGCTTTTTTATCCACTCATCCACTGATGGGTACTTAGGCTGTTTCCAGCACTTGGCTATTATAAATAGCTCTGCTATGAATATAGGGGTGCATAAGTTCTTTTGAATTGGTGATTTGGGATTCTTAGGGTATATTCCCAGCAGGGGAATTTCTGGGTCAAAGTGCACTTCCATTTTTAGTTTCCTGAGGAAATTCCATACTGTTTTCCATAGTGGGTGCACCAGTCTACATTCCCACTAACAGTGCACTAGGGTTCCCTTTTCTCCATATCCTCGCCGATACCTGTTGTTTGTTGATTTATTAATGATGACCATTCTGACCGGTGTAAGGTGGTGTCTCACTGTGGTTTTAATTTGCATCTCTCCGATGGCTAGTGATGTTGATAATTTTTTCATGTATCCGTGGGCCGTCTATCTGTCCTCCTTGGAGCAGTGTCTATTCAGGTTCTTTGTTCATTTTTTTAATTGGATTGTTTGTCTTCCTGGAGTTGAGTCAGATGAATTCTTTATACATTTTTGGAGCTCAAACCCTTGTCTCATATATTATTGGCAAATATGTTCTCCCATATGGTCAGTCCTTTTTCATTTTGATGGTGGTTGGAATTTACTTTTTTTCCTAATTGGGGATCTTTATGAGTGAGCCACCCCAAATAAATGATAAAAATTAATACCCTGCAATAAAATAAATCAAATTATAGAGTGAAACTATGAAATCGAATGCAACGATAAGATAAAAGAAACAGGCCACAGTATCGGGAGGCCTTAAATATCTCCTACTAGAATAGATCACATTCTAGAGGTAAAATAAGACTAGGAGAAGATATTTTAAGGAAAATAACCTTAACCTGAGAGATGAGGGAGATGAATGGAGGCACAGGGAGAATATTTAAGAGGAAAATTATTTCAGAAGACTTTCTATACTATGATTCCTTTGTCTGTTATAATATAGATGCTTTATTGGAGGAACTGGAACGCTCCACCCTCCAGGACAATGGTGACTACTCCGACCCCACCCCTCCTCTCGAGCATCAGCATTCCACAAAGGAGAGTGACCGTGCTGAGACTTCAGACATCCCTCCTGTTCTGGACGACACAAGCCCCTTGCCGGTAACTGTGCATTTATTGGAGTGCCTTGAATATAGATGTTTGAGTGCTTTCTGAAAATGAATCGTAACTTACATAACGTAATGGGAGAGGACAATCATATATATCCAAGAAAGAGGAAAAAAAATCTATCAATGATAACTTAAAAGTGTTTGGTTTTGGAAAGAGGAGGAGATTGAGAAAGTCAGCATAGAAGACTAAGCCTTTGAGAATTAATTTTTTTTCTAGTGAGAGCATGGTAATAGAATATTCCCTAAGTCACTTGGGATATTCTGGTGTTATTGTCAATAAGGCAACAGATCACCTGGGCAAGGCCAAATGGCAGCTCAGAGTGTTTTCAGGGTGACATTTTAAAGTCACCACTTTCTAGGTCTTATTTTCTGCTGAATATGTTAAAAAATTCAGTTATTGGTACAGCCAGAGATAATGAAGCTCTAGGAAACCAACACAAACAAACTAAACTCATAAAAGATAATGTATAAAAACACCAGAAATCCAATCTATTCGTTTTCGGGTAGAGTTAACACTATCAAGTAGAACAGGTGCTAGTCTTTGCTGATGCTAGTGTTCTCTTCCTATGGATAAATCTACATGTACCTACTTTATAGTTAGAAGGTCGCTTGATAAGAATGGAATTAGTGTAAAAGGAATTAAGTAGATGCTGTTCAAAATTGGCATTTTTGAACTATGATATTCAGACTTATCCTTGTACACAAGTATATGAAATCACCAGTGGCACAGATCCAAAATTTGAGCCCATGGGTAGATACCATCTTTAACTGTTCTTCCCTCCAGCTACACATATACAGTTTTAAGGATGCACATTTATCTCTCTCCTAGGTAGCTATTGTCTTTTTTCTCACTGCTAGATTATGGCCGTAAGTCCCTAATTGGCCTGCTAGCCTTGTCCCCTGCCATTTATTCTCAAAATAGCAGACAGGGATGATCCTGTAAAACTTAAATCAGATCATGTAATTTTTCTACTCAGAATTCCCATCTTATTTGCACTAAAAGTCAGTCCTTACACTGACCTTTGCGGGGTGGCCATATGTCTCAGTTCACTTTGAACCAAGAGCCCTGTGTTTATGCTTGTTTTCTTGACATCCTTTTATTGGCTTTACCTTTTGCCGCAGATTTTTTCATTTTTTATAAGGCTTTCTTCTTGGAAGTTATAGTAAAGTAAACCAGCATGGATTGATAAACCTCCATTAAGTTCCTCTGGCTTCCTCTATGGTCTCAAGTGGTAGCATAGAAAACACACATACAGTGAACAGAGGTCCTATTTTATTACGGCTAAATCCAAAAAGATGACTAATGATAACTTGTTTCTCTTTTCTTGATCCTGTTCAGACGAAACATAAGTGATAACACCCTTTCAAGAATAATGTGCAAGGTGCTGGTTGTTAAGGCTAAGAGCTCAAGCACAGCAGCCAGGGCCCAGTAATTTCTCTGGTCTTAGGTTGTGGCAGGAAAACTTTTGAAGCTTTTTTTTCCCCTGCTGGCCACTTGTTATACCACCATTCACGTCCTGCTGTGTTCCCCTTGGTGGCCTCTAAGATGCCTGAATCCTCCTCAGTGTCATAAAGAGAAAAGAGAAATTGTGGCTTACCGTCATACATATAGTAAATGCTGTTTAGGAAATAGAGACTAAGCATGCTCGCCATAAAATGTGGCGTCATTTAAATGTTTAGGTTAAAGCAGTTTTGTTGTTAATTGTACGTGTAAAACTAAAACTATTTGTTTTATTATTTGCTAATACTTTTTAATTTTGTAGTAAACACATTTAAAAGCATTTGGCTCAAAACCAAAACTACATGTTTAATTTCCTCAAGAAAGTTGATGATGAGTATGTAGTTTGCACAAAATATTAGTTGATATTTACTGTCTGCTATGGAGATAAGGAGAAATACCATTGTCCCTTTGAAAACTAGAAGACACAGATACGAATAAGAAGCTTCAGCATCTATTTCAAAAGTTTGTACGTAATTTAAGAAGAATGTACACAAATACGATGATTCAACATGTGCAACTGCAGGAAGTATGTTTACATGTCACTGTGAAGCACATCTTTCCATTTGGGTCAAGTGACTTCTAAATTCATCTTGCTCATTTTCAACTCTGCCCATGCGCGCGCGCATCTGTGTGTGTGTGGTGTGTGCTTGAAAGTAAAGTAAACTGGTGATTATTAATGAGTTAATTCCCTGTGAAAACCAACAGATAAGGTCAGATTTATATCAGTATCATCAGAGTCTTCAGTTAGAGAACTTGTTAATTCTGAAATGGTTTCACTTTTTCATCCAATTCAAAGAATCAAAATAAAGTAGAAGTTCATTCTTTTGTCAAAAATCAAACATCTGGCATTGATAATGCCATTGTAAATTTAGTTGAAAAGTTCAACAATGAAAATAAAGTGTTTTTTTTTGAGGGGGGGTGATAATATGAATACAAGTTTTGGTGGAGAACAGCACTGTGGTAAAGCTAATGTTCTTACATACTAAAAAGCCTATGGAGCAGAAGTGTACTTTGAATTTGTTGTGATGTACACAAAATTTATGACAGCACTCAAACAAGCTATAACACTCTACCGATCAAAACATACAGATATTATATATACACAAATCAGATGAGGTATATGTATCCCTGTAAAATTTTTGAGACAGAAACTGATGTTAAATCCCAAAGCATTTCAGCATGGCAGTATGTGCTTTTTTTTGTATTGCTTGTCATCAATTGGATTTTAGAAATGTCCGAGGCTTTGAAAAATCACTTTGTAAAGCAACCTAAATTCATGTCACAGTATGTGAAAAATCAGTTGGAAATATTTAATCAAATATTCAATGAATGTAGCATGAAAATCCAGCTTTTAAAGCTTTTTAGAAAGTTGCAATTATATAAAACAAAGCTAGCAAAAAGGAAGAAGCTCAAATTCTGCCCGCAAATGCCAAAGAAGAACTGAACAAACCAAAAGATGAGAGCTCAAATGATTTAATTCTCTAATTTGAAAATTGTGGTTTAGAAAAATCTTGATTTTGACAGAGTTCCTCATTTTAATTGGATAAATTTATATTCTCCACCAGGATGGGATGAAATTGTGAAGGCATATGATTTTGCAGTATCTACATTTGATGAAATGTTAAAAAGGAGTATACATAGAGACAATTTAAGAGGTATCTCTTATAAAAATATTATTAAAGAAAGGTGCTTTGAATATAGGCAAAAATACAGTACCTGTGAAAATTTTGAGCCTGAAATATTTATACATTTTAATAGAAAAAATAGAATTGAGAATATCCTCCACTTATCAGGATTTTGTCTGGACTTATAGGTTCATCAGCATCGAGAGAGAGAGAGTACTTTCTCAATTAAAAAATTATGGTCTACAGGGAAGTATCAATTAAAAGTGTCAACAATTTCAAATATTTTAACCAGAAAAGGCAGCTTTGCAGAATATGGCAATTTTTTAAAAATATAAACATAAATAAGATTATATTAAAAAACATTTTCAGAAAAATTTCTACATCACAATGTTAGAGACAACAATATCTAAGTAACCAATTAAGGTATGTGAACCTATCTATTTCAAGAATGATAATTTACTTGTGCTATTTTTTTTAAAAGATTTTATTTATTTATTTTTAAACAGCAAAGGAGGGAGAGAAACATCAATGTGTGGTTGCCTCTCACACACCCTCAACTGGGGATCTGGCCCACAACCCACGCATGTGCCCTGACTGGGAATTGAACCAGCAACCCTTTGGTTCACTGGCGGGTGCTCAGGACACTGAGCCACGCCAGCCAGGTCAACTTGTGCTATTCTTAAATGTTCAAATAATCAATAGAGAAGTTAAAAAAAAAATTTTTTTTGCTTTAATGTTCATAGCTAAGTGCCATTTTAAACTATCTTAGAAAATTTTACTTTGAAAATTAGTTTTGAATAATTATTTTGTAGTTTCACCAATATAACAAAACCAAACTTTTGGTCAATACATCTATGTTTTTAGAATTGATGAGCAAAATAGAACCAAAGACATGGAAATAAGGAACAAACTGATAGCGACCAGAGGGGAGGGAGGGGGAGGATAACAGGGGAAAGCAGGGGAAGGGTCTATGACATGTAGCTATGTTCATAATGTGTATGAAGACCCCGTGGTAATGGACAACAGGGTGGGGACTGACTGAGGGAGGGAGGAGGGGGGCAGAGCAGGGGAGAACAACAAGGGGGAAGTTTGGGACGACTGTAATTGAACAACAAAAAATAAAATAAAATTATAAATTATTTTAAATAAATTTAGTAATCACCTACCTGGGTGATCTGGCCCCTTTAACTCTTTGCCTCTCTCTCACTGGTTCCCTCTGCTCAGGCCACTCTGGCCCCCTTTCTGATCCCAGATGCTCCTGGGTGCTCTGCCCCTGCCGTTCCTCCTTCCTGCGCCAGGCTATCCCTGATAGCTGCACACTTTTCTCACCTCCTCCTATCAGTCCTTGCTCCAGAGCCCTCGTTTCAGTGAGTCCTTCCCTGGTTGGTTGGTTTGTTTATTTATGTATTTATGTTTAAAAATTTTTCAGTCGCAGTTGACTTCTAGTATTCTATTAGTTCCTCCTGTGCAGCAGCATAGTGGTTAGACAATTTTATAAGTTATGAAGTGTTCCCCTTGATAGGTTCGGAACCCAGCGGCCTCACACATAGTTATTGCAATAGTATTGATGGCATTCCCTATGCTGCACTTTACATCGCCGTGACTGTTATGTAACTGTCAATTTGGTTGTTTTCTTTTTTAAGTTTTTAAAATTTAAGAAAATTTAAATTACAGTTTACATACAATATTATTTTGTATTAGTTTCAGGTACACAGCATAGTGGTTAGACAATCATATACTTTACAAAGTGTTCCCCCTGGTATTTCTAGTACCCATCTGACACCACACATAGTTATTAGAATATTATCGATTATATTCCCTTTGCTGTACTTTACATCCCCGTGACTATTTGTAATTATCAATCTGTACTTCTCAATCCCTCTTCCACGCAGCCTCCCAGCCCCGCTCCCTTCTGGCAACCATCAGTCTGTCCTGTAGCCATGAGTCTGTTGGTATATTGTTTGTTCATCTATTTTACTCTTTTGATTCCACATATAAGTGAAATCATATAGTATTTGTCTTTCTCTGACTGAATTACTTCACTTAGCATAATACCCCCTAGGTCCACCCATACTGTTGCAAATGGTAAAATTTCTTTTTAGCAGAGATCAGTATATTTATAATTGCCATTTCTTCTGCATTTCCTGTCTCCCGCTCCTGATTAATTTTACACACTAATTCATTTAGTTTCTGCATATTCATTTGTCTGTTATCTATTGCTCACAGTGTAAGATGCCAGATAGACAATTCTTACTCAGTTGTTTTTACTGTTTTGTTTTTTGACTGCTACTTCTCTAGCCCTGACACATAACAGACACTCAATAAATACTTGTTCAACAAATAAATGAATTGCTGGCCAACTACTCCTTACGGTCACACATTATTTCTTTTAGTATGTTCAGTTTAGTCAGATCATGGTCTTGCCCTATAAGAGGGCTGTGCGCTTACTTGTTTTGTATGTTCTGTGCTTTCTCTCTGAGCACTTCTCTGTTTTGGTGCTTTTAAGGCAGGGAAAGAGCTACTCTTTATTCACCTGGCAGCTGCTCTGCTTAGAATTTGGCCTTTCTCGGCATGATGGCTGGTGTTCCTCCGCCCTGTAAAACGATGTCTTGGAGGGACGCTAGTCAGCAGTCCCCTTTAGAAGCTAAAAACATCCTCTCCTGCTGGGCGCAAATGAACGCCAACATTCTACCAACAAACTCGCTCTCTGTCCCTCTGTTTCAGGCGCAGCTCGTGTATACTACTGATGTCAAGAAGCCCCATGTCTACAGGTATTTCTTTTATTGTTAAATACTTGAAAAAATAAAGTTATTAGATAATTGTTATTAATCTACATTTGGACAATAATGTGTGCAGAACTCCTACTGCCCTCTTCTTTCCATAGTCTTTGAGCAGAGGTGGAAGGGATTCTGCCAAGCTGACTGGACAGCTTCTCAAGGTGCCATGTAGATGGGTGCCCAGGCTATTGGGCTCTGCCCTTTCCTTCACCACCTGAAAAAGTGTAAATAGTTCCATCATCACAGATGTTTGGGCCCCAGTATTCCAGGCTACAAAAGAGAAAACGCCATATGAAATTTCAGCAAGATATTAACAAAATCAGAGCTGATGGGTCTCTATGGCTAATGAATGTAGACTTTTTCTTTCCATATTTGCTCAAATGTATTTAGTGGATAGAGGGATTACCTTTCAACCAAAGTTACAGATTGAAACATTCACTTACTAAATAATGTCTGCTGGCTAAAGCAGAATCAATAATCTGAAAGAAATAAAAAGACCACATTCCTTGTTCTCTCTTCAGTTCTGGCTTGCAGTTAAAAAAAAAAAAAATCAGACAGTGCTCTGGGAAACAAAACAAAGGACTTAAAATGTAGATAGTAAAGGCTCATGCTTGGCAGAGAGCACTACCCCATACCCTATTTGGTTTCGTAATTGCAGTCAATAGCACACACATGATGCCAAAATAGGGAAAGGACCTATGCTATCAAAAAGTCTTTTTATAACTTCCCACTTGAAGACACATTCTACTTTGATGGGAGGGAGGCCAATTTATTAATACAATTGTCAGTTTATTCCAGTTCCAGGAAGTTGTCCAGTGGACATGCCCTGTAGGCCTCCCAGTTCACCCTCTTGTATAAAAAAGCAAACAAAGCAAAACAGCAATAGCAAAACAGTGCCTGGCACACAATAGGGTAATAGTAAATATTTGGCTTTTTAAATCCAGGAAGCCAAGGCTTTAATAGAAACACTAATGAACATTTGAACATATAACACGAAAACAAGCCCAACCAAAAGCCATATCCTGTCTATCTAGCATTGTAATCAATTGATGGCACACCAACACTAACTCATTAATACCCCTCCCCGCTGAGTTGCTGATAGATTCCCCATCAGACTGATTCCTCCCTCTTCTCTTGCTCTGCCCTGTGTTCCAGGGGAGCTGACCCCTGTGGCTGGGGTTTTCCAGGCACCAGGGGCAGTTGTTTCTCTCTGGCTTCAGCCAATGGGAGGCACTGTGGAGAGGCTGAAAGGTAAAAGGCAGGGAAATTTAAGGCATTTCTGCCCTATCTCTATCTCTCCACAGTCTCCATCCACAATTATATCTCCTTGATGGCTTTAGCTGAAGCAACACAGGTTTGCTATGGTTCCAGTCTATGCCTGTTGGCCTGGGCCCCTGGGCTGTGGTCCCTTTGCCTCTTGCCTTGTCCCTTCAGCCTAGTGACTTACTGCTGTGGCTAATCTCTGGGTTCCCTCAATGTCTTCTGTTGGCTTTTTAGCTCTCCCATCACCTGTGTCATCATATTTCTGGATTAAATTCCTTTTGCTTACTCCCAATGCTTGTATTTTCCTGAGTGGACCTCGACTGCTATACTTCCCATTACTGAATAATACATTCTATATAGACCTTTGTGGGAGAATGAGACGAAATCCAGGTGACCTAGTAAATATGTAACAGACTGAAACAAATCCCAGAGGCTGGTATAAGTCAGAGCAGACAGGCTGGTGGGTGCAGACAAAAGTAAGACTCAGAAACCAGATTCTTGCATTGTGTTCACCATTTCCTGTGGTTTGCTTAAATGAAACCAACATTGCTTTAGACCTTGAAAGTATATTTAATACCAGTTGTGAATATAACAATGTAATAATATTCCTAATATAGTGATATATCAGTAGCATTGTGACCAATAATTTAGAAATGTATCTTTTACATGCACAAAAATCATTTTGGTAAGAAGAGGGAGAAACAATTCATAAAAATATGGCAGAGGAAAGGATGGGAGGGAAATCCAGCACAATGAAACCCCTCACTTGAGAAGTCTGGATTCTTTTAAACACATCATTTGTGATTTATATTATTAAAATTCCTGAGCACTGAAGTAAGTTGGTACTGATGGCATAGCAAATCACCTTTACAATCTTCAAGAAGTCAGGGGGCAAATCCAAGGTTGCTATAGTGATGCAAGCATCAGCCCATTTCTTACTTCGCATGTTATATTGTTGCCTCACTTACTATTAGGGTATCATGACAGTGATTTATTTCCCTTTATGAACAGTGCTAGGAGTCTAATTAAAAGCCAGTGAGCATTGTTGGAATAAACACACATATGTCCCAGCTGTGAGATAGAAAGGTTTTTAGGGTTATATACAAACCCGTATAAGACACTGCGTTCATTCTCCCCTGGGACACAGGGCAGCAGAAAGGGCTCACTGTCCAGCCACCTCTGTGCCTCCAAGACACGCATCCTTTTGGCATCAATTACTCAGGGATTATGCCTGAAAAGAGTTGTGAAGGTGACTTCTTGCGCACTCTTCTTGGAAACCTCCAAGGACTGAATTATTCACATGTATACCTGACCATTTTTGTCCCCAGATTTAAAAAAAATGTTATGTCTGGTTGGAGACCATGTTGTACCTAAAAAGACAAAGTCTTTCATCTTAAGAGTAGATGTCCACCTTCCTCCTGCATTTTCTTGTTGTTAAATACTCAAACATAAGTAAGTCAGTAGTACGACATGTACCCAAGAAAAGGCCTCGTTTTTCTTAAGAGAAAAGGAGGTACATTTTCCTTCTATTTCCTGGTTGAAAAATACATAAAAATAAGTAAAGTAGTAAATCCATGTTTTCATTATAGAAAATATATTTAGTGAAAGGTTTAGAATATTTTGCTGTGTGTGTGTGAGAGAGAGAGAGAGAAAGGGAATCAGTTTGGTGGGCAGTTAGCTAAGCTCTCTTAGTTAATGTTAATTACAAACTTTACTGGAGTTCAGTTGCCTGCATGATCCAGTTTTTCCATTTCTCAAAATTTGCTCTCTGGAAATAATCAAGTATGGGTGCAAATATTTATTTAGCAGAATTGATAACAGCAAAAATCAGAAATAGTCTAGGTGTCTAACAATAACTGAGTGGTTTAATAAATCATGGCACGTATACATTTGAAAACTATATAGACTTTAAACATCATTTGGAAGATAGTTTACTACAGTGAGGAAGAACATACACTTTGCAGTCTGCAGGCACAAACTCTATTATTTACGCAGAGCAAAGTTTTACCTTCTCTAAGCCCCAGTTTTTCATCTGGGAGTGACAGTACCTCACTCTTAAGGTGGTTGTAAGGATTTAAAAAAGACATGTGTAAAAACCCTTTATGGAGGGCCTGGCTTAGTGTAAACAATAAATGTTAGCTATTATGGTTGCAAAGGGCAGATAAGGATGTGCATACGGATATGGAAAATATCTATCTTCAGTAACAGGAATGGTTGTTGAACTTGTTTTGCAACTGCTTTTCAGCACCTATCAATGTGTTTATAAAGTGTTTCTCTTGTGCGTTACTATAATGCATTATATTAAGCCATTTAATAATGCTGAACCATCCTTGTATGACTAGTATATACACTACCTAGCCATGGCATTTTTAAACACACTTCCACTGTTTTTATTTATGCTTCTTTTCTCTCCCCTCCCCTCCCCTTCCCTTCCTTTCCTTTCCCTTCCCTTCTCTCTCTCTCACTTGCACACATACAATTGTGCAAGTATTTGAACAGAATCTGTATTCTGTGTTTTGGGTCCAGAATTTTATTTATTAATAATTTATTCATAATTATATAGATCTAAAATCAACATCATGTACATCATCTAAACGTTATCAGGGGTTGGCAAAACTTTTTCTGTAAAGGGAAAATAGTAATTATTTTAGTTTTGTGGACCATAAGGTGTCTCTGTCCTAGCTGTCCAACTCTGTAGGAAAACAGCTGTAGATAGTATGAAGGAACATGGCCAAAGGTGGATCATGGATCTCAATTTATGGATGGATGCCTGTTCTATATTCTCATTTATTTTTTGTCTCTTGCCTGACAGTAACTGAGACAAGATCTAATACTTTAAAGTTTAAAAAGAATGCTATTAAAATAAAAGCACACATACACACACATTTGGACCATGGTCCTAAAGCACTTTCCAGAGGCTGCTTTGCACCTGGCTCTTGGGGCGAATGGCCTCTCAGGTACATGTCCAGTGCTTTTCTTCATGTACTTGAGAACGATAGTCAGTTTTTGAGTTGAACAGAGGGAAACATGGAGACACACCTTTAGTCTAGTACCTATATTTTAAAATATTCTCTGTCTTTAGTTTGACTGACATCTAAGTGTTCACTAGTTAAAACTGCATTTTCTGGTATTTTATGCGTGGCTCAACATTTATTTGAGTTTTGATGTGATAGTACGATTTTTTTTGTTTTCTCCCTATAGTGACATCGAAGAACCAAAGGAATCACCACCACCTTCTAAAACGTCAGCAGCCGCTCAGTTGGATGAGCTCATGGCCCACCTGTGTGCAATGCAGGCCAAGGTGAGCATCGTCTCTGTGATAGAGCCTTTAGGTTTATCTCTTTGGAACTGAGCTCTGCATTCCCCCTTGAGGAACACGTCTAAGTTGTCATTTATTTTCCTAGACTAAATTTAATTCAATGGATGAATTTAACTGTGTTATGTGTTATCTGGACATATAAGATACTATGACCCAGGCACTGATCTCAAGGAGCTTAGAGTGTGCTTGGTAAATACAATGAGGCATAAGCCTCTGTAGCATGTATAGGATGAAAGACAAGGTGGTTTATCAAAATATATGCAGCAAACGTCAGGAATGTAGAAGGTCAAGGAGATTTCATCAGAGGTGGGTATGGGTGTGGGATAGACTCTGAAGAATGCGAAGGGTTTGGATACAAAGAGATGAGAGAGGTGGTTCTTCTAGTTGGAGCGAGTCCTGAGGGCATTGGCCTCCAATGCCAGATGAAATGTCGCAGGACTGTTAAGGGGACCTGCCTGAGCAGGACAGAGGAGAGCTGTGGACAAGCTGGGGCAGAGCAAGGGAGACAAAGTGTGGCTTTCACAATAGCAAGCATGAGGAGGGCTACACCCCATGCTGAGATAAAGTTCACCTTCTTTTTCTAGCCTGCAGAGCATGAGTGGCGAGCTCAAGTGGCCTGGCAGGGAATGGAAATCAGATAAATGGGCTTAAGAATTTATCATGGGAAATTGCACCTAGAATTCTTAAAGTAGACAATACAACCATTCTAAATTGGTTGGAGGATTTATATGCACACATGAAGTGACTATGAAATAATTTCAAGGCAGTATATAAAAATGTGTGTGACTGGTGAGGGTAAGAACCTTATCTCTGTGGCTCACCATTGGACTCCCAATACCCAGCACAGTCCCTGACACATTGTGAATAATACAAACTTATTAGAGGGACAAATGAATAAACATCAGAAACAAGTTTTCTTTAATGTCTACAATAAAGCTGAATGTATTCTTCATTGTGCTATATATCTGGAAATACTAGAAAAAATCTACTTTAGGTTTAATTGTGTGGTGTTTTCTCATTGATTTAACATGTGTCTTGGTTTATTTACATTTTAATGTATCTGTTTATCTTTTCTTAAAATTAATTAATTTATTTTTAGAGAGAGGAAGGGAGGGAGAGAAACATTGATGTGCAAGAGATACATCCATCGGTTGCCTCTCTCACATCCCCAACTAGGGACCTGGCTCACAACCCAGACATGTGCCCTGACAGGAAATTGAACTGATGACCTTTGAGTTCACAGGCTGGCACTCAATCCACTGAGCCACACCAACCAGGGCTGTTTATCTTTTTAATAGGCCATACATTCACATTGTACAACAATCAAAAGTACAAAAGTTTGCAGTGAACTGTTTCCTTATCAGTTCTGTCCCCAGCTATTCAGTTCTGTCCCCTGGAGGTAGTCGACATTTCCTGTTTCTTATGCAGTGATTCAGAAGTATTCTGGAATAAAGAAGCAAATAGAAATAGACATAAATGCAGATGTGGATATAGATATATTATTGTGTTTTTACTTAGTTATTTTTACTTAATATTGGTCATCCTTGCATGCCTTTTAAACATTCACCTTTGAACGCTAATCTTTTCAACATTAACTAACCTCATCTAATACAGGAGGAAGGAAGTCTGTCAGGTGATAAAAGTTCCTTGAAGGGAAATGAGCATGTTGGATTAGTGAGGTACTGTGAGGTTATTCCTGGCAGTAAAAATAGGATAAATGGAGGCTTGACGTCAGACTGTGACGGATCCCATTCAGGAGACTGCGGTGAACCTAGCTGGTCTTAGACAGTGGAGGCTTACTACTGAGCGATAAAAGATGAGATTGGAGAGGTAAAGTGAGGGCAGTGGATGGGACGCTGGACTTCTGTGCCATGTGTGCAAATTTGGTGCTGGAAGCAATGGAGAGTCATTGTAGTTTTCCGATCAGGAAATTTCAGATATGGGGTAGCAATAGCCCAGTTAGAAAGGAGTTGAGAGACACGGAATCAGGACTTGGGTTGATGAAGCATAAATGGGGCATCTTTTCTGTAATTTGAGCCTTTTTCTTTGAATGTTTTATCGTAACTATTTTGGAGCCTTGCTTCCATAACTTCAATCCATCAGCAAGTCTTATCCGACAGCTTCTCACTGCTTTCTCCCCTAACACTGGCCTGAGCCATTATTTCTGGTTTGAACTGTAATTATAGACTCCTGCCTGACTAGTGCCTCTAATTCCACTCTGTGCTTGATTTCTCGCTCAGCCACCACAGGGAATCTTATAAACCAGATGCTTCCACTCTTGTGCTTGAAACCCTTCAATGGCTCCATCACCCCTGGAATAACACGCAAAACTTTTACCACGACGGTAAAAATGTGATCATTGTGATCTTTGCCTCTGTTTCTGTGATCTTTCGCCACACTCCACTTCACTCCCTCTCCTCTAGACCCACTGACCTTTCTTGCCATTCTTCTAATTACCAAACTATTTCTTTCCTCTGAGCCTCCCCTCTTTTTGGAATGCTTTCCTCACAAATATCAATAATTCTGTGTCCCTAAGTACATCACTCAAGTATCTGCTCAAATATCACATCCTTAGTAGTCCTCCAATCGCCCTCATTTCAATCAATTCTTTCTCACCATCCCACCCTCTGTCAGTTTTATCTTGATTTATGACTTGTATCTTATTTCTGTCTGAAATGGCATCATATATTTATTTTGTTTAACTGTTTATTGTCTACCACCTAGGGAATATAAACTTCATGAGGGAACATCCGTTGCCCTTGCACATTGCTTCTACCAAGAGCCTAGAGCAGGTACTGGCACAAGCAAGGTACTCAATAAACAGTGCAGAATAAATGAATAGCAAGAAGATTGTTACCTGCGGTCATCACAAGAGCCAGAAGAAGTATTATCTTCATCCACTCAATTCCCTATGGTCAGAAAAAGATTTACAAATGAAGGAAGATTAGTCAGATTTCATTTAGCTTGAAGAATTTAAAAGGAAAAAGAGATGAAAGCATTTTTATTGGTGTTACAATGTTGTAGCCTTCCATATCTTGAAGGAAGGTTCAGGAAAGACTAAAGAGTAAGTCAGCAGAGGTGAGCTTATAGGGTCATGAAGAAGATGCCACTGAGGGTAAATGCCCGTGAGGCTGACTCTCTTCATGGTTTTCTCCTTGCCACCAGGTTGCAGTGAAAGCAGATGCCAGCAAGAAGCACTTACCAGATAAGCAAGATCACAAGGCCTCCCTGGACTCAATGCTGGGGGGGTTGGAGCAGGAGTTGCAGGACCTTGGGATTGCCACCGTGCCCAAGGGCCACTGTGCTTCCTGCCAGAAACCAATTGCTGGAAAGGTGGGATGTGACAAGATGGTGGTCCTACAGTCACCTCTGTCTCTGTGTGTGTCTGTCTCTGTCCCACCAAGGCCTGCTCTTTCTCCTTATATTCTGAGACATTTTAATAATAGTTAATAATTACTGACCACTTATGGTAGTCTGGGCACTGAGCTAAGTGCTTTACAGGTGTTCCCTCATTCAGTGGTCACATTAGTTCTTAAGGGAGACTCTATTATTGTTGCCTTTGTAAAGAAGAGGAAAGGGAGGGCTTAGGGGAAGTTGACGGACAGGTCCAAGGTCTGGTAAGAGGTAAAGCTAGGATTTGAACTCACGAGAGTCGAACTCCTGAGTTTAAGCTCTCAACCTTTCTTCTGTGCTGCCTTTACTCCTTGCTTAAATTGGTTGCATACGATTTTCAGCTGCACTCAGCTCCAGATCATAGCCAATAACGAACTTCTGTTCTGCTTCATTCTCCACCAAAACCGTAACAGGGCTTTGAGACTTGACTCTGTATGAGGCGTGAGATAAGGTGTTCAGACCAGAGGAATAAAAACTGTCCTTTGGGCTTCTCCTCTTCCAGGGATCCCTTCCATGTCAACGCTGTAGTTATCTTTGGTCTATCACTACTCTGCTCTATTTTCTTTCTTCCATTGTCTGGGGCAGCCTAGTGGTAACAAGCATTCACTGGCTCTTATCAGTGTGAGCAGTCAAGAAAGGGGGCACCCTTTTTCTCTCGATAAAGCATGGACAACACATCGCAGAGGCAGGCCCTAGGTCTAGGCGTCAGTGTTGTGTAACTCCAGGGGGTGTCATTTACATGGAATACGGCGTGTAGCGTGCCCACCACAGATGTGCATCCTGTAGGCCCTAGAGCACCCTACTGGGCTCTCACGCCAGGCTTTGTTTCACCCTCCAGGTGGTCCATGCTCTAGGGCAAGCGTGGCATCCAGAGCACTTCATCTGCAGTCACTGCAAAGAGGAGATTGGCTCCAGTCCCTTCTTCGAGCGCAGTGGCTTGGCCTACTGCCCCAAGGACTACCACCATCTGTTTTCTCCACGCTGCGCTTACTGCGCGGCTCCCATCCTGGACGTGAGTCAGCCCCCCTTCCCCCTGCTTTCCTGTAGCTGTTACGCACTCCCTTCGAACCAGTGTCACGGGTTACAGCTCTGCAGCATTCTAGCGTCTCTCCCTGTGTTCCTTTTCCAGAGAGTGCTGACAGCAATGGACCAAACCTGGCACCCAGAGCACTTCTTCTGCTCCCACTGTGGAGAGGTGTTTGGCACGGAAGGTACGGCCGGGGTACCTTGATCTGCCTTCTCTGACCTGCCCTGGTTGTCTGGGTTTCTGCCACTACCACCCAAGTGCCCACTTTAGTACTGAGGCCATCTTTCCCTACTTTTTTCCCAACATTTGTAAATTTTATTTAAATCGAATTATTTTAATCAAATATAACCGCGCAGTTTAAAAACATTACTCCAAGGGTAATATTGAAAATGAACAGTCTCTTGCACCTCCTTTCTACATCCCCAAATCTACTTCTGTCTTAAGTATTTTTAGCTTTTTCTTTTGTTATTTACTTATGTGTTTTAAATGATATATTACCATAAATTGATCCTCACCACCACCATTTGAATCATTATATATTCACTTTCTTCTAGAGAAGAGGAGGATTTAGAAATGTTATTGCTATCCCATCTTACCCCCAGCATTTCCTCTCCCCCATTTTCTAAATATATAATTCGGTCATAATTGCGGATCAGATCAGTATTCAGTGTGTACATGCATATATTGCTCATGTTGGAGCCAGGTCGCAAACTATGACTACAGCAGAGCATGGATTTCGGAGTCAGACTGCCTGGTTCAAAGCTGGGCTGTGGCATTTATTAGCTCCATGATGCCGTTCAAATCATCTAACCTCTCTGTATCTCGTTTTCCTCATCAGTAAAATGGACCTAAGAATAATATTTACCTTATAGAGTCATTATGAGAATTTTAAGAGACAATACCAGTGTAGTGTTTATAACAGTGCCTGGCACATGGAGACATAATAATAATTAATATTATTATTATCACAGTGTCCTTTTTGTATAAGTTAATTTTTTCCTGAAGTTAATATTTGGATCCTTTTTCATTAACTTAATTTTTATTGTACTTAGCACTAATTTATCAGACAGAACTGTGAAACCCTTCTCAAAATGGTCAACTACATGTGGCGAGAGGTCAGTTCCATTTGCTCTTTCTTGTAGACATCTGTCTAGGAAACGTCCGTATTCCTGCTCTGGCCTGAAATGGCATCTCCTCAGGCCTACTGAGAAACAGTTATTCCAGGTCATTATCTTGGGAACTCCTTTTACTATCTTCCTCTTTGGGACCTCTGTTTCCCGGATCTCAAGTCTTTTAATACATATTATATTGTCTTTATTTTGGCGGAGTACATCCTCTAGTAGCTCCTGGTAACAGGATAGGAGGTAAAACTTTTGAGACCTTGAATAGCTGAAACTACATTTGTTCTGTTGTCTATTCAAAGATGCCTGGACAGATAATTCTAGGTGGAAGTTATATTCCCTCATATTTCTGAAGACTGTCTTCCAGCTTCCACAATTGAGAAGTTTTTAGTAAGATTTTGTTCTTATTCCTAATCGTGGCTATGTGATCTGTTTTTCTCTCTTTGCATGTTTTTTTCCTTCTGTTTTCTGAATCACCTTGATTTTTTTCCTGATTTCTTTTTATGTTTGTTTTGAACAGATATGACTCATGCACAGAATCAGAAAGCTGCTTTCTTTTGCCTTTTGCTGTCCTTTTGGAATGAACTCAATGAGGAATGTTTTTTCCTCTCTCATAAATAAAAACTTGGGCAGCCCCATGCCTGTTCTGATTACTATTTTATTTTCTTTAAAAAATTTTTCATTAAGTTTATTAGGGTGACATTTATTAAAGAATTGTATGTTTCAAGTCTACAATTCTACAGCACATTGTCTGTACCATGAGCCGTGTGCACTCAGCACCCGGGTCCCAGCCTCCTTCTCCCACCGGGTATTTGATCCCCTTCACCCTCCTCACCCTCCCTCCGCCATTTCCCTCCAGTGACCACAGTACCATTATCTGTGTCTGTGAGGGTTTTTGTTTGTTTTTCTTTTTTATTCCTTTGTTGCTTCCTGTTTCATATCCTACATATGAGTGATATATGGTTTTTGGCTTTTTCCATCTGACTACTCTTAATGAACAGTTCTAAATAGAAAACCAATTTAAAACACAAAACGAAGTCCTTAGGTAATTCAGTCTGTGGAACAGCTAAAGCTTAACAACTTATTGAAAGCGATAGTTGCTCTCTTCCCGGGTGGGCCTTTCAGCAGCAGGAGGCCAGGGAAGGGGGTTATTGCCTTTCATCTGTCCTTTCCTGCCTTTGGCACCTACCACATTCACCCTTATTGCTAATCTATTAAAATTTTTTTAATTAAATGTATTGGGTTGACATTTGTTAATAAAGTTTTATAAGTTTCAAGTCCACAGTTCTATAACACTGACACATCCTGTGTATATCGCATTGTGTACTCACCACCCAATGTCTCGCCTTCTTCTATCACCATATATTTGACCCCCTCTCCCCTCTCCACCCTCCCTCCACGTTTTCCCTCTGGTGACCACAACACTGTTATCTCTGTCAATGAGGTTTTTGTTTCTTTTTCTTTTTTTGTTCTTTTGTTGCTTTCTGTTTTATATCCCACATATGACTGAAATCATAGGGCTCTTTTCCATTTGACGTATGTGGCTTAGCATAATGCTCTTGATATTTGATCCCTTCAGAGTTGAAACAGGGGCGGACAGAGATGAGACTAAAGGGCAGGAAAATTTTAACTTGCCTAGCACTGTTATAAATTTTCTTCGTGCTGTATGGGCCTGGCAGACGTTCACCTCTGACTTTTTTCCCCTTAGATACTTTTGTGGATTTCGTACAGGTCCAACTGTAAACTCTTAACTCCCATTCACATGTCTTGGTTGACTCTTCTCCGCTTGGCACCTTTCTTTGAGGATCCATTTCACACAGATTCTTTATTGCAGAGTTCACATTGCGGGCTCCTGGTGATCACTTCGATGATCTCTTAGAAAGAACTGTAATGGTTCCAGATCATCTCTTTAACTCACATTTGCATATACGGACCACGGGAAACTTGTACCTTTCTGTTGTAGTCAGTGGGATTGACTCTTTCTTCAGATGCCATAGGCCCCGTCAGCCAGACTCTCACCTGTGGACTTTTTCCAGGAATGAGTCAAATACCACCAACGGTATCCCACCAATGGCAGGGGACATATACCCAGTTCTCTCAGTGGTCCTATTGAAGTCCCTCTCTTGACTTGAGATTAGGAAGAGCCATACCTCCTCCCTCTTGGGGATGGTGATGGAAACACCCAAAGCACAGTTTTCTCCAAAGAAACCCCTCTCTCAATTTCCCTTTCTCTTTACCTGTTTTGTGTCCTCTGCATGAGTGAGGAGTTCAAGAATTGTGAGGATAGTCCATGTTTATCTGCTCTGAGGGATGTCTTACAGCTCAATTGGGAATTTGATATCTATGACATCTCAGAGCCTTACATTTTGTTATATTGGTCTTTGCCAAATGCTGCTGAGCTTTGCTTTCCCACTTCCTATATAAGAATGAGACACTAAAATGTAATTGAAATATAGGCAGAACTTGTGAACTAGGAGAGTCAGCTGTGTGGTACTTAGGTAGGAAGCTCTGGCCATTTTTCTGGAAGATATCTAAATATTGATATTGTAGGTCATTAGTCTTGAATCATTTCTACCCAAGAGATGTTCTTTCTGCCAGCATTATGAGAATTTTACAAAGTGATTGGAAGATGAGGTTTCACCATTCAGAATGTCAACTTTTATCTATTTCCTATTTCTCAGTAGAAAACTTGACTTATTTTCTCATAGCACCCAGCGTCCCTGATCATTGAGACTCTCTGGTTTATTATTGCCAAAATTAATCATTGCATCTTATGGTAGGGTGGGGAATCTGATCTTCTAACAGCCCCTCAAACTTGCAAACAATCCTGTTTCCAGCCTTGAAGACTATTTTATGCATTCAGTTCTTGAGCCCCTCTGATGTTATGGAGCTCCAGATGGCTTGCGTTGTATTGGCACCTCCTCTCTCTGGAGAGGTAGGTTTCAGTGTTCTTATTTTTACCAAGCTAGTTGTCACACTTATACCTACTTTAAATTTTTTGAAAATTTTACTAATATCTCCTCTATGGCATCTCTTTTCCTTTTCCTTATGGGTCTTTCTAGTTTAGGTGATTCTTTAACTGTCCTGTCAGTGATATTTCAAGAGGAAGTAAAGGTAATCCCATGTGTCTTGCTCTCACCAACCTGGGCTCTCCTAATGTCAGGTTGTTATTATGTGTATTCCTACCTGCTATTCATTTAATCCCCGCCACAACTGTGTGAGATTAATTTTATTCCACACTCTACCTAGTTATAGATGGAAGCCCTGAACCTCAGGGAGGAAAAGTGATTTTTTTAAAGTCATACAATTGGAAAGTCAAGGAGTTGGAATTGAAATTTAAGGTCTTATTTTTGCAGAGTTCCTTTTTTTTCCCTACAACATCATAACTTCCCCTTGATAGAAACTCAATTCCTCTTCTATCATTGGATCTTTTTAACTTTCTTGACACCAACATGCTACACTGTATTTGAAGATAGACCTGGATAGAGTAGCACCAATACCATCCACGAGGAAAGTGCTTCGCAGTAATTTGCATATTCACTGAAGCTTGTTTAATGCCTTTCACAAATCATTAGGTCTTTCATTTCTAGATTGCACTTTAGTTAAGCAATATTTTTCATTTGGATTTAATCAAAAGTATATTGAAATGACTCATGGTAAATTTATACTGTACTGGCAGCCATGGAAGTCTGCAGGTTAGTTGAGTTAGAAGAGTCAGTGAGTGAACACTGCCAGGGATAATTATGATGTAGAAGTTGCCTGAGAACAGAACAACTGAAGTTAGACATATAAGTTAGATACAAAAGTAAAATATCCTATCCATAGGATGACCAGGAGGGTCCACTGCTCTTGTCTTGGGCCTCCTCTAAACACACAGGGCAACTTAGGTCATTTATAACTTTATAAATATGAAGCCACACCTAAGTTATATTTATTTAGACAACTGATAAAAAAGGCCATTTACTAATCAGAAGCTCCTCTTGGGTAGTCTGTTCGTTTTTATCCTTTGCTTTCTGCAAATGGGCCTCCTGCCATACAGTTAGTCCACTAATTAAGTGGCACTCTGCCTTACCCCAAGTCACAGAGTCACGCACAGAGCTTCTATAATGACAGCTAAACCAGTGAGCCTCCTGGGAAATTAAATTTATCTGCGTTTTTGCTTCAGTTCAGGGAATTCCTCCTTGAGGCTCAAGTCGCGAAGCACATCAGGCCTTAACACCCTCCCATAGGGACTGGGTCCTCATTGCCTGCCTGCCTTTTTAATTGTTCATTGTCCAGGCCATGTAGGTGCTCCCTAATTTCCCCCCTGGCTAAGGGCCTCATCCTCTGTCTCGGTGGCACTTTTAATTGTTAGTGTTTCTTATCCTTGCTCCAGAGATAATTGGCCCCAGAGAGAGCCTCCAGGAAAGTAAGCGCTGAAACTTTCTCAATTTATTGGATACCAAATGCAGGGGTATCACAGCAAGTTTGGCTTGCTTGCTTTTGATTCTTCTCCTGAGACTCACCTGAGTTCAAAGAGAGGCTGTTACCTCCCTGCTATGTCATTCTTATGACCAACTACCCTGCAAATGCATAGATGAGGGTCATTCCTAGGCCAGTTGGCCAGTCTTATAGTTTTCTCAAGTAATACCGATTACTGGCAAGCTTGTTCTTCAGGTCATTGGCATCACCTGAGGACTTGTCAGAAATGCAAATTCTCAGGCCCCTTCCCAGACCTATTGATTCAGAATCTCTGGGGATACGGCCCAGCCAGTAATCTGTATTTTGATAAACTCTCCAGGTGATGGATGCACATGAACATTTAAGAAATATCGGGCCCCACAAAAGCAAGAAAGAGGGTAGTGCATTTTGGTTTGTTTTTCTTAAATACTAGTCCTCCCGCAGTCAGTTGTACTTGATCAGACTCCAGAAATTCTTTGATAAAGTTAAAAAACAGAAAGTATGCTCGTCTGTGTCTCAGGGAGAAGAACACAGGACAGCTTATAAAATGATTAGCTTAGATTCTTAGATTTATGGGCCTTAGAAGTTTGTTAAACTATCTGCTTTTCCAAGACAGCATAGTTGAGCAAGGCAATACATATGAAACAGTGACAAAGGATCACGGAAAGACTACAGGGACCTGATTTGGGTCCCAGTCCCTGGCTGTGGCCATTGCCCTCCCCTGCCAACGTTTTTAAAACAAATCTGCCTGCTACTATGAAGATTTCTAGAAATAATGTTCTTGGTGAGCTGCTTTCTGATCCACCAGACATTTAGTGGACACAGGTAGAACTTTCATATTTACAGAGCTATTCACTTATGATGTTTGGGCTCAGCCAATACTATCAGGTCCAACAGAGAGATCAAGGTCAGGATGCATTAAGATTTCTTTGTAGTTCTTTTTGTCTTTAGAATATATCCAGTGGGACTGTGCAGTCAAAATACTGTGTATTAAAGACACTAGACTGAATTATTGCCTTTTTTTGGTCATATTACCAATTTGATATGTAGTTAAGTTAATTTGTGTCAGCTTGATTTAATTTTTAGGGATAAATTTTATAAAACAATAACTGAACCATATATTTATTAAGGAATCTTATTATTCATTATATTTTTTCTGAGGTATAATTAGGAAATATTTTCCTCAGTTTGTCCTTTGTCTTGACTTTGCTTAAAGTGTTTTTTTTTTTGTCATGTGTAAATCATCAATATTTTTAATATAGCAAATTTATTAATCTTTAACTTGCTTTTGAAATTTGAGCCATTTTATGACAGTTCTCATTTCATTCCCAGGTTAAAGAAGAATCCATCCATTTTTAATTCAAGTATTCGTATGGTTTGAATTATTACATTTAGATCTTGCACCCATTTGGAAATTAGTGTTTCATAGTACTTATATTTTTAAATATTCGGCCATTTTTTTTTTCCAGGTGCTTTTTTTAGATACTGAAGAAATAGTGTGACAAGACCAACAAAATCTAGTTTCTCTCCAAACTAATGTCCGATGAGGGAACGCAGACCACACAAGTGATTTCAGATAATGGTAAATGCTATAAAGTCAATGAAGAAGTGATAGTGACAGATACAGGCTGGAGAGATGCCTCTCCGATAAGATGATTTTTTTTTAGCTGATTTATGAATGACAGGATGAGGCTAGTCATATCAAGGCCAACAGAATAGTTAGTACTATAATCCTTAACGCTGCCAAGTGCTCACTGTGAACCAGGCACAATACTAAAACACTTCACCTGCATCGTCCATCTATTTCTTGGAACAACCCTTTGTGGTAGGTTGTTTATTCTTAGCTGCATTTTAACATGAGGGCCCTGAGTTTGGGAGAGTTTACAATCATTGGCCCCTTCTCAACCTCTGACTTGGCTTAAGGTCTCAATCTGTAACCCTCGATTTTCTCCCTCCAGGCTTCCACGAGAAAGACAAGAAGCCATACTGCCGAAAGGATTTCTTAGCCATGTTCTCACCCAAGTGTGGTGGCTGCAACCGCCCAGTATTGGAAAACTACCTGTCAGCCATGGACACTGTCTGGCATCCAGAGTGCTTTGTGTGTGGGGTCTGTATACTCAGTTAATTTTTGGATTTAGGGAAAGTCAGAGGTTCTCCTCTCTGAGAGGCAGAGCTGCTCAGAGGGTTCACAGCCTGGGATGAGGCAAGGGTGTGGGTTTCCGAAAGGAGACACAAAATCTAGCATTTGCTGTGGGTATTTGCTTGTCTGTTTTGCAAGTGGGCCATATTCTACCCTCCGGTTTTGCAAGTGGGCCATTTTCTACCCTCCGTTTGTCAAGGATCCACATGAACTCCTGCTACTGGCAGGTAACTGGCAGGAATGTCTAGGCCGAAAGCTTTCCTTTGCTGAGGCTTTCTTCTTGACATCTGCATTCCTTTCCTTTCTCTTCTCTCCACCCCTCAGGACTGCTTCACCGGCTTCTCTACCGGCTCCTTCTTTGAACTGGATGGACGTCCATTCTGTGAGATCCATTACCATCTCCGCCGAGGGACGCTCTGCCACGGGTGCGGGCAGCCTGTCACCGGCCGCTGCATCAGTGCCATGGGCCACAAGTTCCACCCCGAGCACTTCGTGTGTGCTTTCTGCCTGACACAGTTGTCGAAGGGAATCTTCAGGGAACAGAATGACAACATCTATTGTAAACCCTGCTTTGAGAAGCTCTTCTCACTATAATTTCAGCCAAACCCACAACCCCCTTCAGATCTCCTGTGAAATGTAAACCAAGAGAGGAAACAGTGCATTTGGCTCTTATTGACCTTCTGCTCAATAAGCATATAGAGACAGTAATGGTGATGAACAGAGAAGGGAATGACCAGGCTTGTGGCCTAAAGTTTCAGATTTCTAGTTTTTGGGGGTTTTTTTTTGTTTTTTTTTTTAAATTGGGTCCTTGGATTTAGCTCTGGGTCCTGCTATCTAGCACCTCTGCAGATGTCTTTTCTACATGCACATGTTCATTTCACAATTGGTTCTGTCACATATTTCCCTTTTCACCCCTCTGACATCCCAGCCCACATCTTCTCTCCTTTGGCCTTTGCAAGCTTCCCACATTTCCCCGTGACTCAGTTTTCCGCAGTCATGGCTGTGGACTTTATTCTTGCTCTGAGAAATTGTGGTGCCATTCTTGAGCTCCTTGCATCTCCCTTGGGTGTATTTCTCTTTTCCAAGAGGAAGTAGATTTATACTGAACAACTTTGAGTGCTGACATAATTGGAAAATAAAGTGGCTTCAGTTTTAATGGCTTAGTGTCATATAGTTTGGTAGATAAACCTTATGCTTTTCATATTAATATACTAGGCAGTTTGTGCAGTTAAATTTGTACCATACAATTTTGTACATACAAGCACTTTTTCAATCAAAAGAAGTTCAAAGGAGGGACTCCTATTCGCTAACTTTTTAAAATTAATTTGGGCCTGCCCATAACATTTATTTTACTTTTTTTTTTGCACTTAAGTAAGTGAATCATCTTAAAAGATGGCAAAGCTTCTTAAAATAGTTTTCATCACTTTGTTACTGAAAGAGAAAAACTGTATCTCCACTAGAACTTGCAAATCCATATTTGCATATGTATGCATGTCTCCAAACTCATAGCATTGCATATATTAACTATGTCAAGGTTTCTGTGTATCAATTATATACCAATAAAACTGTTGTTTAAAAATGAAAAAAGCATCTTCCTCAGCTTCACAATTGTCTCAGGAAGACAAACAAGATGGCTGATCTTAGGACATCACTGAAGAAAGAGATTATAAAAAAATCATTTGACCATTTTCTAGTTTGGATTAGGAAACCCAAGTGCCCAATACAAATCTCCACTTAATTATTGGTTCCTCTGAAAAATATTATAAGTAAAGTTGTAGAAAAGCTAGTCAGGTTATTAAAGAATCTGACCTCATGTCCTGCCTCAAGTAAGCTTCAGAAGGAGTCATGCTTACTCAAAAGAGGCATTGTTAAGATCTGTACTGTCTCATTCTTACCATGGTCTTAAGGATAGTGTATGATTACTTGTTACAAAGCACATTAAATGACTGAGGAAAGCTCCTTAACTAAAGGTATTTCTTAAAAATAGAATAGAACTGATTTGATATCTAGATTGGTATGGACACAGAATTTCTTGGAGAACTGACAGATTAAATGATTCTTATCAAGCTTTGTTGTATCTGCGTCCTGTGGTGTAGTGCCTCTTCATAAATATTTTCCACAGGCACACATTCGTTGGAATGGATGATAAGGGGTTTTAAGAGTTAAAAGGAAGTGATAACAGTTAATTCTATGAAATAGGAACTTCAAATGTATCCAAGCTGTGTGGGAGGCCACACAGATAGGGAACCATCTGGCCTCATGTCCTGTTTGGTTGGCTGAGAGTACCAGACTAAGCAAAATTTACGTTGAACTTCTAAACATCCTCTTGACTGCATTTGATTCCATGATATCATGTGCAGGTGTTAATATGGCAGTGTTCATGGTTGCCTTGGCACCTTGACAAACTAGACTTGGGGTTTTAGCCTTTAAGAAAGAACATTCAGATGCTAAAACTTTTTGTTAAGAATTAGCTATTTTGAGATTTCAGTGGATCTACATATTTTTAAATGTCACAGAAAAGCCAGAGGTCACTACAATGCAATTAATGAGTGAAGACTTTTTCTTCTCATAATAAATATTAGTGGTTATCCTTGTTCAAAAGGAGGTGATGCCTTCAGGACTAGTGTTTTAGCCACAAGGAAGTAAAATGAACTAGAAAGTAAGAAGTTCTTTTGAAAAAAAATAACAAATACTATTGCTCAAACCCTTCACCTGTTTATTCTTGATTCTGAGTAGCTCCTAGATTTTACAAAAATAAAACCTACCCTCAAACAGCAGGGCTTTCCCAACAGTGAGAGAGAGAGAGAAATATCAAAGAATACGCTAATTCTTTGGAAACTCTATTTTCAAAGAGGAATTTCTCCATTATTTGGCCTATTATGGTTTAGAATAAATATATAATCCCCCAAGGTGATGCTCTGCAGTCAAATGCTCTACCACTGAGCTATACCCCCATTACACTCTGGTAAAGATAACATTTATTTTCCACACCAGTTCTAGCATGCACTTCTCTCATGGTTGTAGGATGGCTGCCAGCTACAAGCTCCCTTTTCCATGACCAGTAGAGGGAGAAAGAGCGCTTTCTTCTAGCTCAGCAAGCCAAGCTCTAACGTTCTCCTAACTGGGCCAGCTTAGGCCACAAACCCACTAGTGACTTTTGCAGAAAGAATGGGCTGTGCAGCTTGGCTGAAACCACACTGGGCTACTTCCAGAGTTAGGGGCAGGACTAAGTTCCCGAAAACACAAGAATTTTGTGGAAATGTGAATACTTAAAAAAATCTGGGTATTGCTGCAAAGAGCGTAATGAATCTTGAATTTATATGACTGTATGTTCAAAAACACAAACATTAAAGTGTTTTCTGAGTTTCAAGGTAATACAGAAGGTAAGAAAATAGATATCCCCAGCACCCTGAAGGAACGCGTCTGATAACTCCACAGAGTTCAAGTGTAGAGGAGAGCCAGAAATAATGGTTTTATAAAGAACAGGGGACAGAGGTACTGGTCTTCCCAAAGCCCCAGGGCACAGCAGTAAGAAGCATCAAAAGCAGCTTCAGTCTGGGAATCTAAAAAGTGAGCTCTTTCAGCCAAAATAAAGATGAGAAGGAGCGACGACTTTCTTTAGGGGCGAATATCTTAGGCATCAACAAATCCTTAATAAGGGCAGGGGTGGCAGCCACTAAAATACGAGACCAAAAAGGCCACTGTCTGCCCCCACAATACTGTGGAGGCTCTGTTACTACGTAAAACTCACCATCAGGGCAGCAGGTAAGTGCTGAGAACACAGAACTCAAAGGAGAACCAGAAATCTCCTGGGGTGCACTGGACAAGAGAGAAAGACATCTCAGGTAAGAGCTGGTGCTTGCTGTTGCACTTGTTGCAAATGTTTAACTTTGCTAGGAAGCAGCAATGCCCCACATCTATTCTGTAAGAAAGGAGACAGTTTATGTAGGAGGTTCCACCTCCCCGTTGTACCTAAATTAATCAAATGCATCTTACCTAAATTAATTTCCTGTAGAAAGATGGCTCCTAATAGTGTTTAGGTTCATAGTCCAGACAGTTGCATAGACTTCCCGGCATCTTGGTGAGAATAATCTGTCTATCTGCCCTTTCTAGTTTGTATATCACCAAATCTCAACAAAATCTGTATTCTAGGAATAACGTTTTTGCCTGGGATAACTACCCCAGTTCCTATGAGAGAAACCTCACATCTCAGGTGTTGATGAAACAATTTCTACAAGTGAGAACGAGCACACCAAGAAATCAGAGGACTTTACTTCCTTTGAACTCTAACGCAAAGAAGGTGATGCGATTCGATTTTGGATTTTACTGCCTTTGGACTTTGATATGCTATGAAGACTAATACAACTGGGCACAATCAAGGATGTGACAAAGAGTAGGAGCACACTCCTCGGCGTTGTTTTTTTCAGTCTAGTTTCTCCACAAGGAATCACATCTCTCCCCATTTGGTCCGTGCGATTGTTTACAGTGCGCTGACTTTACCCTCAGCTCCTGAATGGACACAAGTGTCAGGCCTGACCAGTGAGTGTATTTTGTTCCTCTGGGCCAAAGTGATTAGATCAAGGGCAGACTTGTGACTCTAGCAAAGTCAATCAGATTACTCGGCGGGACCTTTTCTGAATTATTGGGAAAAAGGTGTTCTCATTCTGTTGGGATTCTACCTGAGGAATAATAAAAACGTATTGCTGCTGAGAAATAGCTTTATTATCACTTAGGGGAGACTGCACGAGAAAGAAGCCAACACGGAGGAAAGTATAGTTGAGTAATGATGAAGCCATGTCTTCCTTAGTTTGAGCCACTCAGTCCTATCATATCAGCATCTTAACCCCAGCCTGGGAACTTGTATGTGTAAAGAAACTTTTTTTCACTTAAACTGATTTGAATTGGAAGTCTGTCACCAGTTAACTGGGTAAGCACAACAGATATACTCTCTCTCTTACAAGCTTGAAGTATTGCAAGAGAGTGAATAAGTGAAGGAACACATAAGCTGAGTAGTGGCACAGAATGTGTTTGCATGTTACCATGAAAAAGAAAATAGACAAAAATACTATCTGCCATCCAAATACTAACCAGGCCCAACCCTTCTTAGCCTCCAAGATTAGATGAGATCGGGCACGTTCAGGGTAGTGTGGCCATAGACAAAAATAGTATCTGATCACTTCCCAGTGCTTTTTACCTTAGAGCAAAATGAAACACTTTATACTTTAAGTCTGAGGTATCCTGTGGAGAGCTGATATATTTAGAATAAAAACTTTTTGTTCCTGTTCAATTTGTTAGTAAAGTTGAATAAATGTTTATTAATATTTTAAAGGGGGAGGGTGCTGTCACCCTCTAAGATGCAAAATTGTGCTGTAAATTATGTTTTATATGCTACCTTGTCTAGTGCTCACCCATAGGAAACTATTAAATCTTTAATGTTACTGTAATGTTGAGTATTTGTAGTAAAAAAAAAAAAAAGTCTTAAAAAATCTTCATCTTGCAAACAAAAAAGAGAGAAAAATTTCAAAACTTTGCTGGATGATCTTATTTATATTTATGCTCAAAGTTGGTCCTTGAAGAAAAGCGGGTGTACAGGAGGTGAAAGAAGAGGAAGGAGACATTTACAGTGATTCTGAGAGGAGATCTTAGGGACTCTTTTTGGTGCCGTGTTGAGGGTGATGATTTTCACTCTGTCCAATGACACTTGGAAAATAAGACTTTCTCACTCCAGGCACTTTTGCATTTTCAAACATGCGTTAAATATTGGAGGCTTAAAAATAAAGTGAGACACTTAAACGGAAGTGAGTTTTCTAGGGTAATGTGAAAATTGTCAATGAGGAAAATAAGAGGGGAGACTGCAATAAGCTACATAAAAAAAACTTGTGAGTTGGACAAGGTGAAATTTCCAGAGCTTCTAGCAAAGGAGGGAAATGACAAGGATGGCATATAACACACTCTCTTGAGGAAAAGGAGGCCATGGTGGGTGGGGGGGGCCTGCCACTCAATTTCTTCCGTTATGCAGACTGCTTGGGGCAGCTCTCCCTTTTCCCAGAGTGTCTCTTAGTTTGGGTTTTTCTTGGAGCAGACCCTGAGATGAAGATTTGTGTGCAATAGTCTATTTATGATGGGAACTCTGGGTACACAGGTGGGCGAATGAGATGGCAAAGGAGAGCAGGCCAATTCAGTATGTATTCACAAACAGGTTACAGTTATGGGAAGTTGCAGCTCAGTATTCTTGTGGGCCTCTGCAATATATTCTAGGACACATGGAATGGCACCCATCCCCATCTTTGCCTCCTTTGGACGGCCCTATGCAACCCGGACACGCTTCTGTGGCCAAAGAAAGCCCTCACTGTTAGTCAGAGGCGCTTGAAAACATCGATGTGCACCTAGTGGTGAGTGCCAACAGATAGGAGCGGGGAACTTACGACGCCTCTTGGGGACGGTTATGAAGGAGTAAGCATGGAAGAAAATATCCATTGGGAAGCTCTTCAAATCACTAATAATCACAGTACTTTGAAAGTGTGGTAAGCCATTTATTTGCAAATCTTTACAAATTTCCCAGCTCTATGGAGTTTAATGTATTTCAT